CAGAGTTCAAGGCACAATGTTTAAGCTTAGGCCAAACGATTTTTACTTGTGCATTTTGAAATGTTTCTCATGCATTTTATTCCTCTCGTGATGTAGAAAACAATGCAAAAAGAACAGCCTCAAAAGGATACTTTATGTGAAAATGGCAAGCTTGCAAAGTTTAGGAATTATCATTGAAAATCAGGTTGAGCATTAGGTCAAACACGTCATGGCCTACTTGTGTGCACAAAATGCAACTTGAGCAACTTAAAAATTTGAAGGACTTAGAGCTTAAATTGATGTTTGACCTCTGAAACAAAGTTGTAGAGGAAATCAAAAGGAAATTTGGCTAAAAGAAGGGCCCATAAAAGTTATAAATTGAGAGAGTTATGGTCTTTAGGCCAAAGGCATGCCAAACTTAATTTTTAGGTCAAAACACCTTGCACCAACTTGAATCTTTTGATTTTCCTTGCATGAAAAATCTCAAAAATGACCATTTAAACTTAAAAAGGTTGAACCTTGATTGGACCTTTGAGGAATTTTGAAGATTGCTTGAGAAACTTAAGTGAAAAAGGGCATGGAAATACACATATGAACCATACTTGAACCAACTTTGAATTTCATGCACCAAACTTGAACTTCTCTTGACCAAATAAAATTAAATGAATCTTGTCATGAATATGGCCTAAAATTATAGGTCATCCCTTAAAGAATAAGCTTGTGATAACCATTGGTTGACCATCTTTTGCCTTGGGGAATCAAAACCCTAATTGAGCAAACACACTTGATCTTCTTGATTCAAAGCCCTACCTTGCAAAACAAGAAAAAGAAACAAAGCATATATTTGTATTTTAAGTAGGGTTAATGAACATAAACAAATAAAATAAAAAAGAGATAAAATGAGTGCTTGGTGACCTCCTACGCAAGGGCAAAACCCTATAGATGAGAGCTAGGAAGATCCATGCTTGTAATTGCAATGAGATGAAAATGAATATGATAGGTGGAATCTTAGGGGTAAAAATTTAGGATATGAAAGTGTTTTAATTCATATTATTTGGCATTGAGATTGTTAGGGTGTTATAGTGCTCATTTTATTTTTTCGCATCTACACGCGTTCACATTTTGATCAGTTTAAGCCTTTTCATTCAGGTATTTTTAACTGCAGTATTTGATATGTGACTATCTGTTTTACTAAACTATATTCCACGTAGATTATTTTAGTGCATTCATTTATTTTTATTTTTTTTTGCATCTTCGCGTTTTACTCGATTTAATTCTTTTTTATTTCATTTTTCATAAAAATAAATATTGCTAAATAAGTGATAATGAATAAGATAATTAAATTGTTTTATTTATTTTTATTAAAAATTTGTTTGATTTTTATTTTATCAATTTAAGCTTAATTAGTCACACAATAACATATCCAGGTGTAGTTTTGGCATTACAATTAAAGTGAAACCCTAAAGTAACTACTATATATGTTAATTAGTATGAGCAAATATTTTTCATGAGCCGCTTTCCTGATCCACTCTTATCACAATTCAAAAAGAAAAAAGAAAAAATAGAAGAAAAAAATGCTAAATGAAAGAGCTCCTTCTTCATCTTCTTAGTGTGTGACTACCAAACACACAGGTACATTATCTCTTCTCCTTATAGCACCATCAAACTTCAAAACTCAAGTCATCATCTCCCTTTCAAACATTTTTCCTCCACCATCCACCTTTCCTATCCTCCGTTCATACTCCCTCCGCTTGAAATCACACGCCAAAACTCCAACCAAACACAACTGCCTCGCACCACCTTCCAAACTCCATACGTTAACTAATCGAACAACCTTCGTACTTCACTCTCCTTCACGAAACCACTGACAACAGCACACTACCTATGCTTACCTTCTTTCCATTTTGCTAACCTTCATCAACTCACCTCCACAAACAAACCTCTTTCCATTTCACATTTGATCCACCACCACACAACCAACTCAACTGCCACTAGCATTGCGCCTCGTCATAATACTAACATCACCGTTTTCGAACACTGTCACCAGCACCGATTTAAATGTAACTTCCTCCATTTCACAAAAACCTCACCACTGCCACACCTCATTCACGTAAATCATGTCCAACTCGTCACCACTATGCTAATAACAACAACACAAGCATCACCTTCAGCATCGCAACTGGGCTTCAATTTCATTCAATTCAAATTAGATTCAACTCGAGTTGGTTTTTCTTCTGTGATTTTTACTACTACTGTTGGTAAGGTGTTTTGCTCAAGATTCTTTATTTCGTTAATTCTGCGTTTTTGTGTTATCAATTTGCTATTTCGATTATGTGTGCTTTTCATGTCGAGTTCGATTTTAGACGCTGTTGGACTTTTTTTAATTATGTAATGTAGCTGTAATGATGTAATATTTTTGATTTGTATGTGTTGATGTTGGTTGTTCATTTGTTGTGTTAAAATCTGATCTTTCCGCATATTCGACATGATTTGTATGTTGTAACGTTGCTGGATTTTTATTATGTAAGGATTTAATATGTGATGTATATGCATGATATTTGGTCGCGTTTGACGTTATGTTTTGCATGATACATTGTGTGACGTTATAATTTGCGCGTTAACTTTCATGTCACCGCATTACTCTTTATTATGTTACATTAACTTTTGTTTCGCTACGTTAACTCGATATATACATTACATTTTGGATGCTACTTCCTGATTCGGTTTTGATATATGTGTGTTCATTATGCTTTTGGTATGCCTGTTAATTTTATCATATTTTATTACATTGTTTTCGTGCGTTACATTTTATGTGTTCATTTTGCGTTTTTGTTGGCTAATATTGCATTTGCTTCACGTTTCGTCACACATACTTGCTTTTCGTCACAATTCGCGTGTTATCTCAATTCACGTATTAATTTTTGTGACATTAGACTTCGGCCCCGCATTAGAATCTGCGTCCTCGCGTTATAATCCACAAACTCGCGTGAGAATTCACACCCTCGTGTTAGAACTCGCGATCTTGCTTTACAATTTGCGCGTGCCAACTCAATTCGCGCACTTGAATTATGCTTTCGCGTACATTAACTGTTTCACAATTAAATCAAAACCTTTTCTCATTACAAACTCAAATCATTTTACACAAGCTAAACTTAATTAAATCACTTTTCATAAATCAGATAAAAAAAGACTAGTTTGGTGTATGCCACTCTTTTCCCTGAATATTTGGATACAAGCCGTATAGTTCGACCATTCGCATATTCATCATCCGTTCAAAACTTAATTACTCGATTAAATGTATTTTTTGCAATAAATCGGATGAAAAAGGAATAATTTGGTGTATAACTCTTTTTTCTGAGTACTTGGATACGAGTCGTATAGCTCGACCATTCAAGTGTTCGTCATCTTTATGGAATTCTAACTCGATCATACCAAACCTCTTTCGTAATCAAATTCTTGAGCAATCTTTATTTCACAAACAAATCGATCTAAAAAGGAATAATTGGGTGTATACCTCATTCTTCCCCGAGTATTTGAATACAAGCATTATAGCTTTATCGTTCAAGTATTCCTTTTCCATTCAAAATATAATAAATAATTGAGTTTAGTTCACCCTTTGGTGGATGAAAAATGACTAGTTTGGTGTATACCACTCTTTTCCCCAAGTATTTGGATATGAGTTGTATAGCTCGACCATTCGAATATTTGTCTTCCGTTAAGGGACCATGACTTAACTCGTCTCACAAATTTCATAATAAACTCAGATGAAAAAGGATCAATTGGGTATATACCTCTTTCCTCCCCGACCACTTGGATACGAGTCGTATAGCTCGACCATCCGAGGACTTGTCATCCTCCTAAAAAAATTCAACCAATCAAACTTATCTTTTCTTGCCCTCTCGCGATTGAAAACCTTTTCACAAACAAAGAATGTTTTTATCCATTCTACCGCGATACAAACAAACGCTTAAACTGCCCCCGCGCGAGCAGATAAGCAATGTTTAACCGCTATAATGCAACCTAAACATTCATACATTAAAATCAACTAACAAAAACGTGGTTTTCTACCAAGAACTACATAACATTGAATTCCTCATCACACTTGAGGATACGTAGGAGCGAGACTCAACGTCTCGTCAAGCACTATAATAAAAAACCTAAAAATATCTTCTTTTTTTCTTGCAAGAACTACGTAGCTTTGAATTCCTCATCGCACCTGAGGATACGTAAGATCAAGCATCCTAATAAAAAAACTCTTTTGTAGCCTTTTCCTTTTTAACATTTCAATAACTAGAAGAGAACAATAACAAAAACTAACATTTTATCTGTGAATCTAACTAAATGGTCCCCGTTAAGTACAATGGATGTGAGGGGTGTTAATACACTACCCCCTCGCATAATTGATTCCTGAACTCGAATTTGATTGTGACGACCATTTTTTTTTTCTTTTAAGGATTTAACGATATTTTTCCTATCCTTTTAGAATAAATAACGATTGGCGGTGACTATTATCATCTTGAGCGTGTCATCCCTTCCATTCACCTTTAATGTGTGGCTTTCCTTCAAAGCATATCGTCCCTTCCATTCGCTTTTGACATGTCGAAAATCTCCATCGTACATATATATTTTTATATTTAATAGAAAAAATCGCAATATATTATCGATTAGATGATAAGATTGTAATAATATTTTATTTGAATTTGTGTGACAGACCATTAATCTACTAATAATTTTTACTATTATTTACCTCACAAATATTAAATATAATACAAAAAGAAAACATACATGACATTACAAAGTACACTTTCATTATGCTTATTAATTTTCACAGTAAAGAAAAGTGAAAATAAAAACCTTGATGACATATGAAATAACAACACCCAAATTTGAAACACAGATGAACATTTACTGATTTACATATGCAAGTATGCTCTTAAAGCTATTCTGCCCACAGAATAACCATATCACTGTTGAACATCCATAAATTTCAATGTGCAATGACGAAAACACCCTTTCCCTTATCAAAGCTGACGTGGATGCAAGAAAACCTTAAGCCCATTCTTCATGAACAAAGTGAGAGACATCTTCTGCTCCACTTGGTGACCGGGAACCAGCGATAGCCGGTACCGTAACAGAACCGCCGCAGCCACAGATTTCATCTGCAAATAAGCCAAATCCTTACCCAAACAAGTTCTCGGTCCAGCATTAAAAGCCACAAACATAAACCCATCTTTAGGCGGTTCGAACCGGTCTCCCCGAACCGAAATCCACCTCTCCGGTTTAAAATCCAAACAATCCTCCCCCCATATTTTCTCCATCCTCCCAACGGAATAAATCGAATACGTCACCGTCGAACCCGCCGGAACCACCGTTCCATCCGGCAAAACATCTTCCACCACCGCCTGTTTGAAATCCTGCGGCACAGAGGGATACAACCGCAGCGTTTCAGCCAATGCAGCCTTCAGATAAACCAACCGATCAGCTTCTCCGAAATCCAGAGGCTCCTCCGTCCATTTTCCACGTTCCGCGCCGCGAGTTTCCTCGAGAACGGTTGTTAACTCCTTGATTATCTTCTCCTCGACTTTAGGATGGCTGATGACGAGCCAGAAGAACCAGGTGAGAGCAACTGATGACGTGTCTCTTCCGGCGAGGATGAAGTTTAAGATGATGCGTTGTAGCACGGCGGCAGAGATTGGTTTTCCTTCTACGTCGCGTTTCTTCATGAAACGCGACATTAAGTCGTCGGAAGGAGCTCCTTTCCGATCTGAAATGGCGTCGTTCATGTAAGTTTCAACTATTTGGAGAGACTGTTTCAAAATTTTCTCCGATCCTATGCAAAAAAGTTTCTGGAACCTCCATATTAAGCCTGGGTAGAGGAACCTGCATGCAATTGTGTGAGAATAATAAATAACATTATATCATCTACACAACTGAAGAATAACATCAGTGATATGTATTTGAATATTGTGTAAAAAAAATATAAACTCTTACCATCCTTGAACTCTAAATAAATTTGATATAAAAGTTAGTTATTGTGACTGAGAGTTACTGACCTCTGCATGGTAGCTTGAGTGGCGGTGTCAAAAGCAACAGAAAAGGGGTTTTCAGGTAATTTAGGAGAAAGAGTTTCAGGATCTTTACCGAATGTAAGTCCACAAATATTATCAAACGTTAGACGTAACAAAAGATCTTGTAAATCCACATAGACATTATGTTTAACTGATTTATCCAAAATATACCATAACCGGTACTTAATAGACCGGTTCACCCACCGTGCCATGGCTTGTTTCAGCGTCCGTGTCGTGAATTCAAGAGCAGCGGTTTTGCGTTGCATTAGCCATGTATCGCCGTCGCTATTGAAAATTCCATGGCCCAAAAGGTCATCAAATGCGGTCTGCCATTTGGGCCCTTTGGGGTAATTATCAAACCGGGTTTTGAGAATGTGTTCGAGGTTTTTAGGGTGGCATGTAACAGTGTAGAACCCTTGCTTGTGAGCCAAGAAAGGAAGAGGGATTATGCATGTTTGGTAGGTGGCTGAACCTCCGGTTGCACGGAGGTTGCTAGCGATCCAATCGTGGACTTGGTTCCGGTTTTTGAATAGAGCCGGGAGACTACCGACAAAAGGCCATGCTTTTGGACCGGTTAGGGTTCGAGCGAGGAGATGGAACCAAAGGAAGTAAGCAGAGAAGGCAGCTGTTAGAGTAAGGAGAAGAGGCAGTGTTTCCATTTTGCATGAGATGCGATGAGAAGAGGTTTTGCTTTTGCTTGTTTATATATTTTGTGGGAACGAGACATTATGACATGGTTTAGGAGAGAGTTGGTGTGAATTTTTTTGGCATAAAGTAAAATATAATGAAATGGTTAGGTTGAAATACCATCTGCAAACATGTATATGAATTTGGAACATGTGCATGGAGATTGGAGAGCTTCCTAGAACTGTAATCGGAAATTTTTGTTTTCGCTTACTACAAGTTTATTAAGGTCATGTGGCCAATATCTACTTCATAAAATGTATTTTGGACGTTCTTGTAGTTAATGAGTTTAGTTGTATTACAATGTTTGGGTCTATGGATGTTACTCTTATGTGATTTAATTTTATTAAAAAAAATTAAAAAATAACAATTAGGATGGGTAGGAGTTTAATTAACAAAAGTCATTAGTACGAAGAAAAAATGTTTTATCTTGGTTGAAAAAGAGTGTTTATCTTGATTGGTGTGATGAAGTAAAGAATGGTGTTATAGAAAATGTGTCACATTTTACATTGGGCCAAAGGCTGAGGGAAAAAGTTTGGAAGCACATCCGACTTGCTATGTTGTGAGACATGAGAAGTCTCCCAAATTGAGTCTGGTATCCCTTTGTTTATGACCTCTTGTTTGTTGGAACAAAATTGGTTTGTATCATATCTTTAAGGTTTTGATAATAACAATGTATTTAAAAAATAATTGCTTGTGCTAATAAATGTTTAATTGTGCAGGACCATAAACTTAAATTTCTAATATAAACTTAATATTGATACTGAAAATGATTATTATAAGAGAAGCTAAAAGATCTCGAATCTAAAGGATCAAAATCTAAGAACTATACTCTGGAGACTTAGACTCTGAAAGGGATCAACTTCTAAAGACCAGACTCTGAAGAAAGTCAACCTCTGAAGACTAAGACTCTGAAGGTATTCGACTTCTGTCAATCAATATAAGGATCAAGAAGACTCTGATAGGGTTACTATCTAACTTAGAGGGCAATTTTTCTTCTTCTGATCACGTACAAATCCAAACAAAAATTTGTACAGACAGTTGGGATGTGACGGATAATTCCTCTTAAACCAAAGGGAATTAAAATGTCTTTTCAACGACATTAACCAATACAAGTAACATTTCAATATTTATGATTAAGCTTCTCCAAGACTCACTTGTGTTATCTCTTCTCTTCAACGACTCTTTTTTGTCTCTCTATATAAGGAGATGAAGACTTAAAGAAAGATAACCAATCCTTGAGAATCAAAATTGTTGCTACTTAGTCAAATCAAAAGCTTAAGTTTAACTTAGAATTTCTTATCATTTTTATATCGTAAAAATTCATAAGTTTAAGAGTCTTATTGAGTTGTATTATGTTTACACCTCTGATTGTATATCCAGTATAAGAATCAAACAATCTTTTATCTGTAAGTTAGATTGTTAGAAGTCACTTGCTTATGTGCTTGAACATATAAAGTCTCTTGTTTGTGTTCTTGAGCATTAAAAGTCTCTTGCTTGTGTGCTTGAGCAATTATAATAAGTCGTGATTATAGTAAAATCTCTTGAAAGTATAAGAAGATTGAACTACTCTTGTTTTGTGGGAGGAACTAGTATAAATTTGTTGTGTCTCTCTCTTTCTTTTACTTTCTACCTCTGAATTTTTTTTATGCGATGCAAACACTTGACTCTAAATCAAATTCTAGACTTTGAGTTCAGAATATAATAATAGATTTTTAGAAAAAAAAAACAAAAATAACAAAATTCAACCCCTCTCTTGTGGTTTTCTCACCTTCAGTTGGCATCACTCCATGGTCTATGATCTAAACACTTAACGGTGGTATAGAAAAGATCTTAAGAGAAAAACATGTATTCTCATAACTCTAGTAACTCTACCGATAATGGTGGTAAGAATGTTGTGAACTATGATTATAATGCTTCTAAGAAAAAACAACTATAATGCTAAACCTCCAACCTTCAGTTGAAATTCTACGGAGTTTGAATGGTGGAAAAGTAAGATGTACACTCACATCATAAGCATTGATGATGAGTTATGAGACATTCTTTAAGATGGTATTGATATTCCAGTTGATGGAGTAAGAATGGTTGTTGATAGAAAAAGTCTCACACTTGCTCAAAAGAAGATCTATGGAAAATATCACAGAGTTATGTGGCATTTTAGTAGATGCTCTATTTCACTCTAAGTTGAAGGGAAATCGCGATCCAAAACGCATAGGAAAATAAAAAATTTCCCTTTAGTTTTCCTTACGAATGGTCATGATCAGTGATAGAATGGTTACGTCTTGTGGCGATGGAACGTTTGATTCTAAATCAAAGGAGTGATCACGAGCGATGTATGATGAACAACACCTCTACTCAGTCCACACGAACAAATTCCTTCAGTCTCAGTGTTATCTGCTACGATTGAAGGCTTTGATTGTGAGAGAAAAGAGAGAAATACGACTATGATTTCACCAACTGAATTTCATAAAGTTCAGAAAGTTTCTACACAAGAGTTGTATTTATAAAATCACTTGTATGAGCTACAAGCTAAAAAGCTCAACTTAAGTGCACCATATAATAATAATAATAATAATAATAATAATAATAATAATAATAATAATAATGACCATTTAAACATATTTTATTATTATTATATTTAATAACTATAATATTAATAATAACTCTTATTATATTATATTATATGATGTTCCATATATATTTCACTTAAGTACACTGTATCATACGATGTTCTATAATTCTCTCAAGTACACCGTACCTTACAGTGTTCTTTATTTATTATATCTCCTATCAATATGCCCTTATGTGTGTGACTCTATAGGTTCTCGTGACGTTAACAGTTATATTAAATCATATATTTAATATAATAAACAGTGAGCAGTATCTTGTAACACATCACTGCTAGCCAAGTCACGAAAATGTCATGTGATCTGACAAAACCTTTTGTGATAGTACTTGTGTGTATAATTATTCTTTTACCCTTATGTCTATATTGAACACAAGGCATATACCGTATCATCCTTGTCCAGTTCAATATTGGACTCTAAGACATTTATCCTATTATGCAGGATGGGCAAATTCCATCTAGGTCACTCATGTCCCTCATCATGCTTTGTGGAGTACCCATCAGTTGTCTTTATGGTCCTCCAGTTACAGACAATGTTAGATCAGTAATAAATTACTCGACTCTACATCTAGCTGTAATACCCTAATTTTTACCCCTAAGATCCCACATATCATTTGCATTTCATACCACAAACAAGATCACAAGCTTTGGTTCTCTTTCCTTCCTCTGCAGGTTTGTTCTTGAGAGATCACCGGGAACCCTTGAAATAAAATCCAAAAATATGTTTGTTTTCTTTTTTCTTTACTAACTCTTTTTCAGGAAGAATTTGGATCAAAGATATCAAATACCCGTCCCTCAGCTTGAATGAATTTCATCTGAAAAAAGTCAAAGTTGATCTGGAAGCAATTCAAAATCATTTGATCAAGAGTTTTCCAAGATTTAATTGATTATTATTCAAGAGACTCCAAGATTCATGTGTTTATTTCCATGCCTTCTTTGATAAGTCAGAAAAATCGAGTCAAAGCCAAGACAGCACATCAAAAGGAAAATTTTCACAATTTTCACCGTGTTAATCGATTAACACATTTGCACATACAAATGTTAATCGGTTAACCAGTGTGTTTTTTGTGAAAATGCAGCAAATTCAAATTCTACAATATTTTTGGCACCAAATTCAAATGTTGCATCATGAGAATATTCTAGATCAACTCATTTTAATTCCCCTACCTCATCATAATTGATTCCCACCATACACCTTCACTAATCACCACTTGATCATGATTTTCCCTTCATATTCAAATTCCAAGCCTAATTTTGTTTCCAAACCAAACTCCAATCCACCAAATTTTCCAAGCCTAAATCCTATAAATAGATGCCTCATGTCATTCATTTCACAAACTTTTGATAGCCAAGCTCACCTTATCAGATTTCTTCTTGACTCTCTTTTTTCTCCAACTACCAAATTCACCAAAGTTCTTTTTTCCTTTGAAAGTTAGTAAGTTCATCATTAGAACTTGCTAATCTTTGAGCTAAACCTTCATCCATTCACTTTTTCATCATCAATTTCAGTAGCTCAAGGCTTTAGAGTGTGGTTATTGAAGTTATTTGGATCAATTTAAGATTTGAAGTGGTAAACCCTCATTCCACCATTGTTGTTCTTGATTCATCCTTCACAATGTGATCTATTGTTGATTCTTGCTGCTTGATCTTTAGGTCTTGTAAATTTTGTTTTATTGGTGGTATTTGTTATTGTTTTACTTGAATTTTCATGCACAATTGCATCATTGGTCATGAGGTGTTTGAAGAAATTATTGATCAAGGATTTTGCAACTTTCAAATTGATTTTCTACTTTTTTTATAGTGTTAATCGATTAACCAAAAACAAGCACAAACTAGTTAATCAATTAACAGCTGGTTTCTGCGCCCAAAATTGCAATTTTACACTGGTTAATTGATTAACCAGTTTCGCACTGCAAATGGTTAATCTGTTAACCAGTGTCTAGAATGTGATTTTTGCTTGTCTTTGGGACTGCTTTGGTTCTTTCCTTTTCTTCCTTTCTCTTTTGATTTTTGCCTTGGATACACTTTTAAATGTCATTTTCCTCTTTAAATTCATTGGACTTAGGGTGTAGATGAAGTTGGATAAACATTCATTAATTCAAATTTATCTTTAAAGTGAATTGTTCAATTCATTTTAGGTGTTTTGATTTGATGATATGTTTAGTGCTTTAATCCACCAAGATGAATGGATGAACTTAAAGATTGAATGATCTTGAAATTATAGTTTAATTTGGCATCCCCCCTCCTCTTCTCTTTTGTCTTTTGATCGATGAAAATATTCAATATTGTTTGAACTTATTTCAAGTTCTTGATGAAGATGAGATAGTTGCCTATTTTCTTTTCGTGTAG